ATGATGATGATGATGATGATGATGATGATGATGATGATGATGATGATGATGATTTTGTTTTTGGTTACTCCTTTTCGTGGCTGCATCTTCGGCAACGTGGGCTGTGCTCTTCATTTACAAAGTTCTCATACCATCTGAAGCTCCAATGATGGCCCGACCGCAGTCTCGCTAGCTCAACCTGGTCCCAGCGACATGTGATACGTTGTTCCTGCTTATTGCAGTACCCAGAATACACATCTTCCAGGTGCTGGTACTTAGCTCTGTATGGTAGGTCTCTGATTTCCCTCTTGACCATAGGGAAGACTCCTCTGTATGTTGTAGGTCGTCTGTCTCCTTCAATCTCTCTGGCTTCATTGGCAGCTTGGTCTGCTGCCTCATTTTCTTCGATTCCAACGTGGCTTGGAATCCACTTGATTTTTATTGTGGCTGTGGTTTCACTGAACTTGCGGTGTACATCATTTATGTCTGAGCTGTTGCCTAGCAGTCCCTTGCAGAGAGACTGACTGTCAGTCAAGATCAGCCTTTTGGTTCTACTGTAGTAATTGTCAGCAATCCATTGTGCAGCAGACATCATTGCCTGGCATTCTTCGTCATAAGATGATGTAAGGAATGCACCTTTAGTTTTAATGAGTTCTGTTCGTGGTGGTTCATTATTAATTATCACCACTAGCTACTGTTTACCTTCGCGGTATCCTTCGACAGCCGATCCATCAGTGAATTCGGCACCAACCTCCTTGATCACCTCCTCTGCAGCTTCACGTGCCTTTACAGGATCATCCCCTTTGCTCTTCACTCCTCAGTTCTGCCCGGATTTCGATTTCGCCATGGGTCTCCCATGGACATGCTTTCACCAGACTGATTGGCCATCGATTCTCTGTTTCTGGGGGGAGGTGGTCTGCTAGGTCGGTGCTCATCCGAAAACAACTTTTCCTGCTGTTTTTAGGCTTGACTGCTTGATCAAGGGTTTTCTTTCGAGGATGGTTGTCTGGCAATCTCTTAGCCATCTCTACAGACTTGATGCATGTTCTTTTTGTATAGGTGGTGTAGTGCTCAGTTCTGCTCTCATAGCGCAGCGCTTCTGTTGGTGTTGTTTTCAGCTGACCTGATGCAAGTCGGAGGGCTTTGTTTTGTATTCTGTCCAGGGCCTTTGAACTGGTCTCATTCAGCAAAGGCTGCCACGCTGAGGCAGCATAATCCATCTTGCTTTTTACAAACATCTGATATACTTTCTTGAACGACTCCTTACCCCAGCCCCATTTTGAGATGCTGACAGCACCGATCACCTTCATTTTTGATGAGATGATGATGATGATGATGATGATGATGATGATGATGATGATGATGATGATGACGATGATGATGATGATGATGGTGATAACTCTGCAGAAGTGTGCACGAGAGAAAGCAAAAAGTATTCTTAAGATTAAATTTAACTATAAAGGTTGCAATCTGCGTCAAAGCACTTTGCATCTTCCTGAGATCAATACATACTACCCATATACCCTTCATATTCCAAGGGTAATTGGAACTTTGAAAAAAGCTCTAGTCCTTCCCGGGGTCAGCAGTGTTCCTACGACCTAAATGTCAATTGAACCAGCTAGCTCTGTAACGCTCTTTCATAGTGACAATACTAATTAGATCCAAATTTAAAACTTCGATCTGGGTTTTGAGCTCAGTAGCGCAGAAAATGAATCGGCATTTGTTAACTTGTAGCGGTTAGATGCTTCACCATGGCACGCAACAAACCTGAGTTTGATTTCCGTGTGGTAGAGAATTAGTATTGAGGATCTCAGTCTTTAAGTTGGGACGTGAAAGTAATGGTACCAGTTGGTAAGTCATAGTATTGGCCCTTTAAAAAATTCTGATTTCTTTTTCTTTGTCCATTTTTCTGTCTTGGGTAAATTTACTCCACAGGTATTTGAATTATGTTGTTTGCTGGGTCTGGTGTTTTGTTGATTTTTATCACCAACCTTATTACAGCATATTCATACCAACACTGTGTTAAAAAGCCCAAACGCCGACAATATACAAGAGTCACCATAATAAGATAAATGCCAAAGAAAAACTTTGAACATCACAATAAGACACAGGTGTTAGAAACGTCAGTTGGCTTGACTCCTCCCTGTTTGGAGTACCGAGAGAAATAGGGAATAAAATGGTTTGGATATCTGTCAAGACTAACACCAGACAGCCCTTCAACCAGAGCATACAATCAGAGGCCAGATGGACACAGAAGAAGAGACAGGCCCAGGAAACGATATGTAGGTATAGGGGGTCCAAGAAACAGTAGACTAAGCAACATAACCATGTGACCGGTGATTCAACAAACATGAGAAAGACATTCTGCTTCTCCCCTCCACACAGAAAGATAAGCGATGCGGGGAAAAAGTAAAAGTATAGTGAGTAATGCTGGGACGATGTGTCTCTCTCAGTCCAGGTTGACCCTGACAGACAGGGTCGAAGCCCGCCTCCTTCAGTAGGTCAGATTGAGTCGATAGGGGCGTAAAAACACATTAAAAAATACAGATAAGTCAAGCAGTTTTATGTGCATTCCCTCAGCGAGGAACCTTTTTTATAAATCAAATTCAGCATCATCATGAACAAGAACGAAAGGTAAAGAACTTCATGGTGTCATATCAATATTATCAAGGTATCCCGAACACTTTCCGCTATCTCAGCCACTTCCTCTGAAACTTCAATGCTCCTAATCACTGACGCGGTCAAAACCTCGAGGTGGGAGTTCTGTCTCCTGATAAGGTGTCTTGTGGCTTGCAAAACTACAGAGAACCGGATGATCACAGGGCTGGACATGTTTCCTGATGGGTTGAACTAACGGTTAGAGATATATAAGCAACCCCCATCCAAAAAATCTCTCCCCCCCTCTCTCTC